AAGCGGGGCGGGGAAATGTCAACAGGACTGCTTATCTGAAAGATTGTAGATGAACATTGAAGTAGGGGCTGCTGGAAAGGCTGAACGTTTCAGACTGGTACTTCGGAATATTCGAGATAGATGAGTGGATCCCTTGGCTAGTTTTGCAGGATCTTTTCGGCACCTGTTTTCAAGTGAAGAGACTGCAGGATCCAGGTAGGAGGAGCTGTTGCCCTGGCGATGTTCCATATAATGTTTATTAAAGGGACGCTGGACCCGGTTTCCAGCACGTGCTGCTCCCCACGAATAGAACGGAGCCCTCGATATAAAAACAACAACAACAACAACTGCCTCCTGTATCATACACGAGACGGACCAAAAAGGTAAAAAGCGACAAGAAAAGAAAGAAGGCCCCTGAGCAGTAAGGGCACGAAATGACAAAAGCGGATTCCTTGATGATTCAAACTCGGGGCACACTCACAAGAGGACCTATATTCCCAAAATCCCCACAAAAGGGGAAAAGGCCGGTCACACGGATCTATCAAATTCTCAAACGTACTATTCCTGTGCCCAGTTGTCAGCGGCCTGGGAAGACAGGCGTAAATTCGTTCACAGAAGTTCTTGCACAATTTGTGATGGCGCCGTGTGACCAGCCAAGCACCAAATCCCCATTTCTCCAGACGGCCGCGGCCTTGTCCCATCTGAAAAGGTACAGCAGTGTGACGTGAACCATGCCCAAAACCTCAAATCGGCCCTTCCAAAATCCACATATTTTTTGCAGCTTTGGGGTCGCAGTGTGAGTATGCCCTTAGACTGAAAATCCATTCACAACTAAAGAAAGCCTTTGCAAGTGACTGTCGCGAAACAAAACAGCAAACAAAAAGCGCGGCCCAATCCATGACCCTTAGTAAAAGTTTCCCTTGGGCCTATTGGGCCATGTCTTCCGAAACCTGCTACATGCAATATGGAAAATCCTTTGCACACCCCCCTGCAGCCCCCTTGGGTCCAATAGGCTGAAGCAGTGTGCTCTTGCCGGCAATTCCGGCGAGACACCAACATGGCTTGGATGAACTGGTGGTCAAATCCTTTGTTTTCCCCCTTCTCTTTTTCTCTCCTCCTTTTTCTTTTTTTTTGTTGAAGCATGCCCCTTTTAGTCTGTGAAGCAGCAGTCCAGCTCACCACCGCCGCAGGAACAAAACACTTACCCACACATGTCTCCCCATAACAGATGAAAGAGCCGTAGCCATTGCTGCCCAAACTGGTGGTTTAATCCAAGAGTGCTTGTGGGCTCTGGTGATACCTGGTGGCTCTTGAACTGCAGCATTTCTGTGATTTGTGCCGTCACCCTCAGTGCAGCGAGGCATAGTTCGGTGGAGATGACAGAGAGGAGTCTTTTGCAAGTCAAATGCATTTGTGCAAATGATTTTGCACTGGAGCGAACATATGAGACATGGCATGCTTAAGACATGAGTTTTTGGTTTTCTGGGCGAAGCAATGGCTTGACTGACGAAGAGAAAAGCGATGTTCAGAGTCCTTGGCTCTTTTTTTTTTTTTTTTTTTTTTGTGTTTGGGTGGTGATAAAAAATTGTATTAATTGTAGTAAGCTATGCTGTGGCATACTGCGTAGCCACACGGGCCCTGCAGGGCCCGTCCCGGACATTCAGCCTAAAAGCCTAAAACTTAGGGCTTACAGGCCTTGTTCGTTTCAGCCTGAAAGCTGAAAAACGAGGGCCTGCAGGCCCTACCCCGTTTCAGCCTATTTCAGACCCAGAGTTTTCAGCCTGAAACGGAGGGCCATTTTCAGGCCCTCATTGTTTCGACCTGCCCCTAAGACTCAGGCACGTAAACAGGGATGTGGAACAGGCCAGAAATAGCCTGTTCCTCACGAGTTTGAGCAGGAGCTGCAGCTGCAGCCCCTGCCTCCCTTCGGCAGGCTCAGGAGGCACACCCGGTAGTACATAGGAAGTTCCCATGCACTTCACGGGTAGGTAGTGGTCAGTAGGCACGAGTAGTCTTCAGGATTTGACAGCAGCACTCAGGAGGAGCGCTGCAGTAGTCTCCAGCGCTAAGTAGTAGTAGCGCTAGCTGTAGTCTTCGGCGCTGGGCGCCATAGCTGTAGCTGTAGTCTTCAGCGCTGGGCGCTGGTAGGTGGTAGATCGTAGAGTGGGAGAGAGACTGGCGGAGGACAGTGTTACTTACCTGTGGCGCCATCGCTCCAGCTCCATCTTCGTGGTACCTGCATCAAGGCGCCAACTTCACAGGTTAGTATTGGACACAGAGAGAGAGAGAGTTCTTCTTCTTCCTCTTCTAAGTCAACCTTCTCTTCTCACCCTCTCGCCACCTGACTTCTCAGACTACGACAGAGAGAGACAGAGTTGTGACTTGAGACTTGGCGACATTGGATCCAGACTGGACATTTGGGATTCAGACATTTCGACGAGGGACTATTTGGGCTTGTGCCGAAGACTTGGTGTTGACGACATTCCCATCTTCCCCCTCCTCTTCGTCTATCCCCTTCCTCTTCGTCTGTGTATGGTATGGGCTGGCGCTGTCTTCCTGTGTGAAGCGCCAGMCCCATTCACACCATGTAACGATGATGATGATGTATGTTCAGGGCTGCATTACAACATTGATTGTTTGGATCACTGGTATCTAAGTCTTCCGCTGTGTTATCTTGTACTTTGTATTGAAAGGGTCGGTTCTTGTTCTGGTCTGCACGTTACAGTATGCAACAGTTTGGTATCGGAGCGGACCTCTCATTCAGAGGACCCGCTCAATCAAGTAGCCAGCTTGCGATCTATTGATCACTCATTAGTAACGCAAGTAGGACTTAGTCAAATCTCTGAATTTTTTTTTCGCAACAACTATCTGAAATTTCTGATATTCGCATTTTTCGTTCTATCTGAAAATTTCTGATATTAGTAGTTCGTTTTTACGTGACAAATATCTGAAAATTTCTGATAAATCGCATTTCGTTTTGTCTGAAATGCATGGGTCCTGGGGACCATCTCACGCAGATGTGTACATGTCATGCATCATTTTCACACGCAGTGATCAATAGTCTCAACCATAGACAAAGGTAGAGAAGAAGAGGACCAAGTTTCACAGCTTATATTATCAGAAATATGATTACAAAGTGTTTCAAAGTTCCCCTGAGTCCAGCGCTCATCAGCGCAACACAAATCGCTGTTCAACTAATCAATATGACTTCCAGTGAATCAGCGCTACTCCTGCAGATAGTCTCCAAGTCATCAATGTGGTCACTACTCATCAGCGCCACCTCTGCAGGTCACACCCAACTCAGGTAAGTATCTTCCATAGCCGAACCTTGAATGAACACTCTCAGCCTCAGTCCCTTCCTCCTACGACGCATACACACTCTTCACTCATAAGGATCTACTCTGGATACTACTCATAGCTACATACTAACCCTCTACTACTAATGCTAACTCGCTGGGCAGCTATGGCTGCATCACTTCCAGCGTACAGGCTTCTTCCTCCACTCAGCGCATCTTCTACCTCCAGCGCTGCTCCTCCTGACTCAGCGCACAAGTGCACCAGCACTTCCACGCATAGCAGCCAGTGGAGATCTGGCGAGGAATGAGGCAGGCAGCTCCCTTTACAGTGCTGACCACTCCTCGCTGGGTCTGCATTGGCTCAATTCGGCCTTTCCTTTGTCCCAGACCCTGCATTGCATGTGTCCCAGTAGAGTCCCAATGAAGTCCAACTGCTGCTGAGGCCTCTCGGCCTGTATTTGGACTTGAAAGTCTGGATCTGGACTGACCCCTTGACTTAGACCAGAACTGGGACTGTGCCTATTGACTTTACTTTCGGACAGGCACAACTCTCAACGAACAGACACATTTACTGCTTGAACAGACACTTTCCTTTGCATGAACAGGTACACTGCCTGCACGTACAGACACACTCTTACCCGAACAGACATGACATACACATCTCCTGGTGAACAGGTAAGTCTTTTGACAATGCCCTTTGCCTTAGATTTAGATGTGCCTGTTGATAGAGAACTTGACCTTTGACCTGCTTTCACGTTTCTGAGCCCTGGCGAGATACCTTTTCATAATGCTTTGCTTTTACAAGGCCCGTGCTGCTTTACTTTTACAAGGCCTGAGGCCTACATCGGGTAAAGGCCCTTTTAGAAAATTCCCGATAGTAGCAATTCATTTCTCTGATATTTCGCATACATAGCTGAAATTTCTGAAGTTAGTATTTTCGTTCTCTAGGCATATTGGGATAACGATAGAAGTGGTCATATTCTCGGAAACTGAAATTATTCTTTTCTGAAAATCGCATTTCCATTCTATCTCGCAAATTTTTTTTTTTTTGAAAACCGAATCTTGCGAAACCTACCAATATT